AGGGAGTAGATTGTAATGCCGTAGTAAAACTAAGCTGCGAATATAAAAGCAGGTCCATTATAATTTTACGATGAATATAAAATGGAAACAAAATAAATTAATTAAACTCGGCCAAAATATAAAAGATGCGGTAATTAGATTGTGCTGACATAGCGATGGTATTGTCTAAAAGTAGTATACGATAAAAATATTGATAAATCCGTACGCCGATGAAGGGATGGTTCGGTCAGGGCAGAATGACTCCAAGAATCATTCTGGCTAATAAAAATTTATATAAATTAAATAACAATTATGGCTGGGAATTCTTCGTAGAGTCATTCCTGCTATCCATGAATAAAGGTGACCACATAAAGCTGCATCGCTGGTTGTACGGCCTGTGCAATACGATTAATTGTTAAGATAGTACTTAATTACATTAAGCCTCTAACAGCGCTGCTTTGACCATTCTTCATCCAACGGCATCTGCTGGCTGCGCATGTACACCCCGTCTCTCTCTCTCTTTATATATATATATATATATATATATATATATATATATATATATATATATATATATATATTCTCATCATCGGTCGTACGTCATCGCACCTAATGCATGCGTGAATTGCTTCGCTCATATCATGGAGGACGGATAGCTTAAGTTATCTCGCTATCGCTAGCAGCGGCAGCAGTGGCAAAATTTCTTCTTTATTTTTTCCATCCATCGTCCCTCACTTCTCTTCCCGTCTCTCGGTCTGTCATCCCTCACTCTTATTGTTCTCTCTTTGTGTTTGATGCTGCAAAACCTTTATTGACGCCATACCACCATTCATATTATGACATGTCTGCCCGAGCCTATTCGCATCATGACGCGCATGTAGGTATGTGGCTCACCTTCCACCTTTCTTAATCTTATGTTAAATCTTAAACTCACAACAGGTGCACAATAGCCGCTTTCACCTTTCTTAAACTCACAACAGGTGCACACAATAGCCGTCTATTTAAGCTGAGTCAATCTCCTGTCAATTTTTCATACGGAATTAATCCTTTATTGCAGTAACTTTTATTATGGATCCAAGCCAAATTAAATCTAACCACCATAGCTACATAGTCATTGTGATTGCTTTGGATCTCTCTTCTTTTTTATTCCGTTCCGATCTCTCTCTGTTATTTCGTGCCCTGTTCTGATATACTTTTTTATTCCATTCCGAGACCTTCCGTGATCTCTCTCTCTCTCTCTCTCTGTTCCATGAGACATCTCGTCCTCCCCTTCCGATTACTCAGGTGTCAAGATCGCCACCCGTTCAAGCCGGTAATCTAACTAAGTAGTCTTTCATTAACCTCACTTAGCTAGATCCTTCAACTCAATCGGTCATCCTAGTGTACTACCTATATCGTACACTATTGTCCGACCTTCATCTAGGATCATTGCAGGATAGGTTCACATTACGACTCACATCAAGTTCACATCACAAATTAAAAAGAAATATTTAAGTTTACAACAAGTTGTTCCATACTTAGTCATCACACGACACACAGAGTCTAATGGAAGTCTTCAAATACACAACATAATTTTTAATACATGTCTATGGATGTGCCATGTCCATAGACCTATGCCAGGCAGGGCGAGCATCTACCAATCCCTGTCCTCACAAGACTCGGGTGCGTAGAAAAAACCGCTGGGGCTGCCATACCTACAAAACTTAACACACTACAGACATATGAGTACACAATTGTGCTCAACAGGACTTACCCATATAGTAGCAAGGAGTATGCATTTAGGTTGTAGCAAGGAATGCAATTGGTTTTGCATAAAGGCATTTATACATAAAGTAAAGTTATCTAATCAACTAAGCAAGCATAGCATGGTTGATATGATTAAGCAATTAGCAAAGTGGAACTCGATCTTCCACGAGTCCTTCTCACAACACTAGTCCGTATCTAGAAGAGTAGAACAAGTATATAATTCAAACTCTGCAGAGGGGTACACATTAACTCTACCAAAGACAAGGTTACAACCCATACGATCCGTCGATCCATAAGGAGTAATTCAGGTCTCAACATTTCCCAAGTCTAGCCAAACCGCCCACGAACGGTTAGAGTGTGAGCCAAGGTACTAGCCCTTCTAGCTACCCCGCGCTACACCTCATGCCAGATCCACGGGAAATTAGGTCGCAACGAAGTACTAGGCTTGCCACACTCATTCATGACAAGTGGTTTACCGGACCGTCTGACGAACCATAGTGAAGGTGTTCTAAGTGATTTCGTGGGTGAAAAGTGCATCTACGGTCTTTGCATGTTTATGGGGCTTGCAGAAGTGTTTCTAGGGTCCTCTAGGTTACATCTAGCAAGGTACATTGATCTACATCGGCTGGTTCTCTAAAACACTAAAAATGGAGTTTTCTAGGTGAAGAACTACCAAGATCTTGGTTTCTATGTCTTCTAGGTGATTGAACTCGGGGTTGACTTACCAAAAAGGTGGAAAAGAAGCAGCACAAGCTTCTTGGTGCTGTAGAATGTCCCTAGCTCATCCTTCTCCTCCTTTTGCTTCACCTTCCTTGAAATCTCCTCCTTGGGGCTTCTCTTGCTAGAGAGAGAGGGCTCCTCCCTCTTCAATCTCCAGCAAGAACACCTCCTTGTATCTCCTAGGCCTCCATGGATACTCCTCCTGCTGTCCTCCTCCTCCTCCAATCCTCCCTCCTTTGCTTGGTTAGGGTTCTAGAGAGAGGGAAAGCAAGAACAAGAGAGAGAGAGAGTGAAAGTGTGAGAATGAGAGAGTGAGTGGAGAGCTCCTGGTGGCTTCAGGTCGTGAGGGGCTGCCAGGTGGCTGACATGTGGGGTTAGGGATGTTTAGAACTTAATAACTCACTAAACTGTGCAAGCTATCGGACCGTCCGATAGGTGTCGTGTTGTGCAGACTGAACAAGTCTAAACTTAGCGTTCATGGACCGTCTGGTGAGAACCATCGGACCATCCGACGAGTGACAATAGAGCCCAGAAAATACAGATTTTGACATGCAAGTTTTTAAAACTTGAGATTAACATGCAGATGATGCTTATGATTATCAAGTTGACACGACCAGGTCGTGACATCTAGTTTTCCCGTATTTCCTTCAATGTTCAGGTAAACGTGGAAATAGAAATAGAAAGAGAAATAATAACAATATAATAAATATAAAAAAACAAATAATAAAGATAACATCATAGCCTTTGAACCCTTGACTATTCATTGAAAAATAAATGTTCCCATCATCAAATTGTTGATGCAGTTCTAATTAGGAATAAAAATTGTGTTATTAGAACCTGGTTCAACCGATGATCCAAAACTAATCAAACCATGAATTGAGATCTTGAGCAGTTTGTTATTGTCCAGTCCGGTTTAAATAAATGCACCTCCTGGCTGTTTGCATGCACCAGTGCAATCCCCGACGAAAGCGTGACATGGAAAATCTCGAGAGTTTTACTGTCATAATCATTAGTGGATAGTCTAGTCCTTGATATGTTGGCAATTAACTCCTTGCTAACTTGAATCACATATTAAAAAGGAGAAATTTCTTTCTTCGAATTTTGGTCCACACACACTCACCCAAGCCATCTGTCCCTCCACTTCTCTAAGCATAAGAGTCTTTGCCGGTTTTTCTAACAGTAGTAGTACGTAATAAATTAGAAATAAGAGTCCTATTTGGTTTATTGTCTCTTCCATGACCTAAACTCACGACCCGTGTCCAGCCACTGCACAGATCCAATTACAAGGTGTATGCAAACACATGACACAAGTTATATGTTCTATTGCAACACATGAGCATATTTACCAGTAATAATAACAGTCTAACATCACCATGACTTGCGCGATGACTTGCGCGACGAACATACATTGGTTGTGCTAGCGACGGGCGCTAGCGTCTGGACGCTGGTGGGGCCCATCGTTGCAACAAATGTAGCATACCCCTGAAACATTCTGTATAGCTATTGCAACATATGCAATATGACGATGAACTATTGCAACGTCCAGATGAACTGTTGCAACATCCATATGAATTACTGCAACATCCAGATGAATGGTTGCAAAGTCCAAATGAACTACTGCAACATTCAGATGAACTATTGCAACATCTAGATGAACTACTACAACATCCGCAATATGCAGATCGCAACACCTGAAACATACACCTGGACACATCAAACACTTGCAATATCAAAAAAATTCCCAAAAATCGCCATCTCCATGCCGTCCTCGCCATTCATTAGCAATGGTCGCTAGCCTTCTCCATGAGCGGCGATAGGAGCACGACTCCAGTGGGAGACAGGGGCTAGCCGGCGCTGGCTGTGCGCGATGGATTTGGGAGCAAGTTGGCGACGTAGGAAGCGAGATGCCGAGATTGATGGATTTCATTGGGGGGGGGGCATGCCGGAAGCAGCGGCGGATGAATAGAGGCCTTCTCCATGATCGACGACAGGAGCACGACTCCAGCGGGAGACCGAGGCTAGCTTGCTGTGGCTGCACGCGACGAATTTGGGAGCAAGCTGTCGACAGAGGAAGCGAGATCGATGGATTTCGCTTGGGGCAAGCTGGAAGCAGCAGAAAAGCCGACTGATGCTATTTTGTTGTGAGAAAAAGAGAGTTAGAAATAGCCAGGGTTAGGTGCTGTGCAGTGGAGACATCAGCGCCCTGTTCAGCTGATGGTTTCTGCAGCTGATAAGCCGACTAATAGTGTTTTACTGTGAGAGGAAAAACACTGTACTAATACTGATAAGTTCAAGCGAACAGGACGGAGATATTTTCTTCTTGTTCAATGGGCGTGGGCAGAGAATGTGGCCAGCGTGAGGCCACGTAGCCTCCGGAGGACTCGCGGCTATTTTATAGACCACCCCGGCCTCTCCACTGCTGCGTAGTACAAGACTCATCGTCACGTCATCGTCAAAACGAGAGGTTAGCTAGAGCTCGATTAATCATCGTCAAAACGAGAGGTTAGCTAGAGCTCGATCAAGTGATCATGACGATGGGTAGAGCTACGGCCACCATGGTGACCCTCGTCGTCCCGCCCACGCTCGCCGCCTCGCCGCCGCCGACCGCGTCGTCCACGTCGTCCGTCGTCATCGACGACATCATCCGCGGCCTCGCTGACACCACCGCCGGGCGTATCCGCACGGACGCCGACGCGACGTCGCGCGCGTCCACCGACTTCGGCACCAACGTGACCGTGGACGCGGCCCGGCCGGCGGCCGTGTTCTACCCGTCGTGCGCTGCCGACATCGCCGCGCTGCTGCGGGCGTCCAGCGCGAGCGTCTCGCCGTTCCCCGTCTCCGCGAGGGGGTGCGGGCACTCGACCCGGGGCCAGGCGACGGCCCCCGGCGGCGTCGTCATCGACATGCCGTCGCTAGGGCGCCACGCCACCAACTCCTCCGCGCGGCTCGCCGTGTCGGTGGACGGGCGCTACATCGACGCCGGCGGCGAGCAGCTGTGGGTGGACGTGCGGCACGCCACCCTGGCGCACGGCCTCACGCCGCGCTCGTGGACGGACTACCTCCACCTCACGGTCGGTGGCACGCTCTCCAACGCTGGCATCAGCGGCCAGGCCTTCCGCCATGGCCCGCAGATATCCAACGTCCTCGAGCTCGACGTCGTCACGGGTACGTATGCACGTACATCGCTGTGCTTATTGTCCATGCGACCATGCGTGATCACAAGCTCGATCGACATGGACATAATCACATAAATGGACGACATGCATGAAATTGATGGTAACTTTATTCTGCGATTCATGAACTTCACAGGAACAGGGGAGATGATGACGTGCTCCAAGTCGAAGGAGGCCGACCTCTTCGACGCCGTGCTCGGCGGGCTGGGGCAGTTCGGCATCATAACGCGCGCGCGGATCCCGCTGGTGCCGGCGCCGGCGAAAGCGCGGTGGGTGCGGCTCCTCTACACCGGCGCCGCGGACCTGACGGGCGACCAGGAGCGGCTCATCGACGAGCGCGGCGCGCTGGCCGGGCTCATGGACTACGTCGAGGGCTCCGTCCTCACCGACGTCCAGGGCCTCATCGGCAGCTGGCGCTCGCAGCCACCGTCGTCGTCCTTCTACTCAGAGGCTGACGCTGCGCGCATCGCCGCGCTAGCCAAGGAGGCCGGCGGCGTCCTTTACTGCCTGGACGGCGCGGTGTACTACGGCGGCGCCAGCGACACGACAGCCACAGACGTTGACAAGGTAATGATGACCTACCCACCGCCGGATTCTACGTGCATACGCCAGCCACACGATTGATCAGTTAACAAGGAGGTGTTTGATCCGACGACTAAAATTTAGGAGGTGTCGTATGAGGATGTCGTAAAGGTGTTTGGATACTAATAAAAAATTAAATTACAAAATTCATAAGTACTCCACGAGAAGAATTTATTGAGCCTAATTAATCCGTTATAGCACGTGTTTACTGTAGCACCACATCATCAAATCATGGACTAATTAGGTTTAAAAGATTCGTCTCATAAATTAGTCGCAAACTGTGTAATTAGTTTCGTAATTAGTCTATATTTAATACTCCATCCATGTGTCTAAATATCCGATGGGACAACGACTAAAATTTAGAAGGAGGAACCAAGCACCCTAGGTTTGGGTGTTCTGAACTGTGGTTTTCAACTTTTCGAGTGTGACGTGATGACTGACGCATACTCCTTCCAAAATAAATCAATTTTTAAAATAAAAAATCAATTTCTGAAACCACTTTAAATTAAATTATCCTAAGTTTGATGACATCATATTTCATAATATATCTAGTGATATTAATTTGTTGTCGTAAATATTAGTGATTTTTTATTTTAAGTTTAATTAAATTTAATATAGTTTGACGTAGTACATGCGTTGCTACAGCTACAACGGTGCAAGTTGGCGTGGCAGCATCGGTAGTCGTGCTTCTATCGGTCCCTTGTGCATGCCAGAGCAAGATCAATAACGGAGCCAAATACTTAGCTATAAGTCTAAGTTATAAGAGCCAAGTTATACAATAGTTATCTTCTATTTGTCTAAAATTTTTTTTATTATATGATACCATGTCTTATATTCTCTTTCCTATTCCTCGTCGATCACTTATGCTTCTATCTGGGCCCACCAATGCCTATGCTTTCATGCCCAGCTTGTTGCTTTTACAAGAGCCAAGCTCTCTTATCTTCTCTCCTCCACATCAGAAAAAATGCTGACTAGCTTGTTATAAGACCATTATTGTACTTGCTCTCATTCGCAAGCTTTTTAAGTTTTTGGGTACTTTTTTCTGGATAGCTACTCCCATAATTTCAATTTTGTAAGACTTGCATCCACTTGAAGAGTCAAAGCCTCGTAATTTTGAAGCAAACATTTAGTCCCATATAATATAATTTTATTATTATATAAGGTTATATGATTTTGTTCTTACAAACATTTAGTATAAGATAAGTCAGTAAAAAAAATTTAGTCTTACTGCTTTAGAGACCGATGAGTCAAACCACACCTTATATTTTTAAACGAAGGGAACAGAGAGTACACAAGGAAATGAAACACTCACACTTTAGGCCTTATTTGGATGTAAATTATTTTTAAAATATTAGATAAATACTTTAGTTTTGTAAAATACTTTGGTTTTCAAAAACTGCTAAGTGTTTTGCTATAATAAACATTGTAGTTTCTAAAACATGGTGTTCTCAAAATCATAGTCCTTTTGAGTCAAACCACACCTTATATTTTAAAACGAAGGGAACAGAGAGAACACAAGGAAATGAAACACTCACACTTTAGGCTTTATTTGGATGTAAATTATTTTTAAAATATTAGATAAATACTTTATTTTTCAAAAACTGCTAAGGGCATGTTTGGATGACGCAGTTTTCAAAAACTATAGTACCAAAAGCTATAATTTTATAAGCCAAAGAGATACAAAACTGTGGTTTAGAAAAAAGAGTTCATGAGTAGAATTTCTAAAACTCTAAAAAGACTGCAGTTTTGATAAAACCATAGTTTTAGAGACTACAAGATTTGTTGTATCCAAACAACCAGTAGTTTTTGAAAACCAAAGTATTATGTAAAACCAAAGTATTTCTCTGATACTTCAAAACATACTCCCTCCATCCCAAAATAAGTGACGTTTTTGACTTTTAGACTTCTTGTTTGACCGTTCTCTTATTTAATTTTTTATACAAATAATAAAATAAATAAGTCATTATTAAAGTATCTCCTATGATAAAATAAGTCATAACAAAATAAATAATATTTATACAAAAAATTTGAATAAGACGAACGATCAAACAAGAAGTCTAAAAGTAAAAAATATCACATATTTTGGGATGGAGGGAATACTTCGCATCCAAATAGGGCCCAAGTGTTTTGCTACAACAAACATTGTAGTTTCTAAAACATGGTGTTGTCAAAATCATACTCTTTTGAACTTTTAGAAATTGCACTCACGATCTCTTTTTTTCTTTTGTAAACCACATTTTGTATGACTTCGGCCTATATAAAACCACAGTTTATTGATACCATAACTTTCTAAAACTACATCATCCAAATAGTCCCTTAATTTTTTACTGAATATAATTAAGCAGACATTCACCCACACATTTCGTAAGCTAAAAGATTACCGGGCAGGGGCAGGCATGTGGTGCTTCATGGAGTCTGGGTAGGCACTTGTCCACAAAACACACACATCGAAGTACACAACTAACTTTCCATGGAGTCTGGGTAGGCACTTGTCCACAAAAAACACACGATCGAAGTACACAACTAACTTTCCATTTTTGCTATTGGAGAAAATAAATATAGTTGTACATTTGTGTAATGAGCGTTTAGGCCAGAGCAATAATTTCACAAAATATTTTTTTTTCGAAATGCTTACACAAGCTTTTAGTTGGCTAATTTAAATCTCCTATATAAACCTTAATTAAACTCCTAGCTTCTGATTTTTCTCTTGAAAAGAAACAGTTGTCCTATATACCTACGGACCTGCTTAGAAATGTGGAATATTTCAAGGGTTTTAGCTGGCTAGTTATTAAAAATCTTATATTGCCTGCATGATAAAAAAAACAATCTCTAGTTTATTTTGTTAAGATGCAGACAATACATATCATTTAGTGAACACAAAACAAAGAAATAAGAAATACTCTTGACAACAAGGTGATGGAAAGTTGAAATTGTTGGACTTCTC